CTGGTAATATTCATAAGAAATAATACCTTATACTTGCGAAATAATCGATCTTGTCTAATTATTTTCGAATTTTGAAGTAGATACAAGATTTGAAATGTTCTTATAAATAACTTTTATTTGTAAAAAATCAAATCTTTTACAAATAATATTCACATTTAAGAATAAAATTGTTTATTCAGAAATATAGTATGTAAAGCTTTTAAATAACAATTATTTTCTATATATTCTATACTTTTATTTATATTTTATATTCAATTATATTTATATCATATATTCAATTATATTTATTATATTTTATGGCGATCTAATATTTGTAGTTATCAAATGTTATAACAATATAAATATTTTAAAACTCAAAGAGATGTAAAATTTTTAATAAAGTACTCATAAAAATTCGAACATATTTGATCTAAGTTCGAATCTACTATTTTTATTTTTTGAAGTAATCTTATAGAGAATTCGAAATTACATGAATAGAAACCTAGGATACTTAATCTTATCATTATTTCTAATATGCCAATTGATAATAGTTCGGCTAGAAAAGCTACTAATATCTCATTCTAATAAATCTAATAATTATATGTTATTTTTACTTACGCTCAAATCGTGTACAATACCGGAGATTAGGATCATCTGTAACAAAACCCTTTGTCTGTTGTGGTTTCCATATAGTTTCATCTTTGTAACATCGATCGTCGATTATCTGCCACATGACACAATAATTTGCTAAACTTGAACTATTTATTTGAACATTACACTGTACAATCGTCTCATAGTTCTCGTACATCTCATTTATCTTCACCTGTTTAGAAAGTTTTTTTTTAATGTTTTTAATGTTTACATATCTTACACAAGTAGATAAAATATACAAATTTTGATAGTTTTAAAATAATATACAATTCTAAAATAAGAAAATTAATATTTACCAGTTTTACAATGCAATAACGACTTCTATGATACCGATCATTATTGTTAAATATCTATAAAGGCAAACATTTATAAAATATTAATTACTAATATTTACTAAATATTATGTTAAAAGTTCAAAAGAAAGAAAAGTGCACTTTAATATAATTAGAATTACCAGCCATTGTGACCATGCAACTTTCACAGCTGTATATTCTGTCCACTCGCAAGTCCCTTTTTCCCAATTTTCATCCTCTTGAATTATTATTTTTATATCAAGTCTCTTTGCAGAATAAGTTTCCATCGGTAGTGACATACTGAGTGTAAAATTTATCACATCTTGTCTGTCAAATATAAATAATTTTAAATTAATCTTGTTATATTAAATTGTTCCCTAAACAAATATATCTCTTACAAAAAATACTATGATTTAAAATATTTTGAGAAAATTTAGATTAATATTAAGATTAGATCAATATAAATAGTATTTATTATTGTTACCTTTCAAAGGAAGATTCTTTATTTTCAAGATTAAAGAAACTTTCTTCATGTTGACAGGTAAGCGTTGGTACTACAATTTCCGTTCGTGGATAAGTATTATCCACCAAATCTTGGTTCCTCATAACATATTTATCACCATTTATTTTAAATTGAAGAGCATAACATCCTTCAAAAATATAGTCGAAATCTATAGTCACATTGTCCTGAAATTAAATTATTTGTATTTTCAAACTAAATATCTCTTTTTAATTAATACATATATATGAATATAATCTTACTCCATATTTAATCTCATAATAATTAATCGCTTTTTTATGAAGGTCAACACATATATTTTTGTTTCTGGTATGTACTTTTGATTTATCATATGGATTAAAGACATATTTTTTACATTCCTCTTCGCTTTTAATCGAAGGATTAACTAACAAAGATATTCCAAATTTGCATTGTTTTTTAGGAGGTTGAAAGCTAACTCTTATTTTATCTAAGAAAAAGTAATAAAAATGTAAGTAATGGATAGAGTAGATGTATTAGAATTTAATTACTCGACAAAGCATACCAGGCTTTTTATTATGATATATAAATAAAGATACGTTTATATTATTTTCAGCAGGAACATCATTGGCATCAATAAAAGGAAATACAGCAGTATAATATTTACTTGTGTCATTATTATTTTCACCTTCAAGATTTTCTGGTGTAAATATGTACTGAAAAATAGTATTAACAGTACATGACAATACATAAATACATATATAGGTGTTTTACAATTTGCAGATCACCTCTCATTGGTAGGCAGACAAAATGAATTCAACTAAATAAAAATCTTCCTTTTTTGCAACTTTGCGACAAAATAATCAATAAATATTCACTCAAAAAGCTGCATCACTCACTTTTGTCATTAAACTTATATTCATTTCACACTCTATAAACAAAATTTGTGACTTGCTTTTGCGTATTCTCTTTGTTATACCCATTTGATCTTGTTTGAATTTGAAATTAATACTGACTTTCAGACTAGATCAATCTTGAACTAGATTTTTTTACTAATTAATTTTTTTATTAAATATTGCAAAAATCGCAAAGTGAGAAGTTTTCTATTCAGTTTAACACGCGCTATCTGCTAACAAAAGTTGATCTGTGATACACTCCATGTGAATATACAGAATATTTATTTTCAAAAAGTTTATTGTGTAACTTACGTAACATTCATATTCAAAAAAGAAATTATCTTGCGAAAGAGAAAAGGGTAAGAGAAAAGAGCAAGAGAGCAAGAGAAGAGGGACGCTGTACATCATCTTTCCTAACTTCATAAAAACAATCACGTTTTGAAACGCTGTAGCAGTGTTGCTGTGGACAAGTATTGTCTCAAATATAAATATATTCGATTCTTATTCAAAGTAATCTTACGTTGGACGTAGTGCGAGACTTACCTGTAATAACAGCGATCGAATATGGTGTTGCCACACTATCGCTTTATCATGACTCGTCTTGATTTATTTCTATTCGATCGACTAAGGACCTTAGCGAACAGTAATTAAAGATACTGTTCCTCGGCTCGTTTCATAACGAACCTCCCTCTTGGCCTTCTTCTTTAACAATGTACTTCAATCCGACCTCTGACCAGAGGAATCACGATCAACGTCAAGTTGTTGACGCGCGCGGCTAAAATTGAGTTCGAATTTTTTGTTTTGTTTATTTGACAGATGATCCGCGCAAACGAGACAGCTCGGACGATCCGAACCTAAACTCGAGACGCGTGGCGAGATTGGTTACGTTCTGAAAACAGAACGATTGCGCAACCGTTAAGCGAGCGCTCATCCTTTTCATTGGTGCATTCTTCTAGATTCAACTTGGATCCAAAGAGCTATTCCAATCATAGATGACAATGTGCTTCTCGAACACAATCATTGGGGAAGATTTGTTTGTGTATGGTTGAGGAAAGATTAACTGATAATACAAGCTGCGTTCTGATATTCACTGCAAGTATTGAAAATCTATAATATATGTGACTTGAACTATATATTTTCAGTACTGGCAGTGAACAGAATATCGGAACACAGCTACAATAGGTGGGAGATTTAAAGATCTTAAGCATGCTCCAAAAGGAATTAAAATTATTATTATTTTTTTATATCAAACAGAAATTTTACAAAGAAAGAATTTACTATGATATATATGTACATATTTCATATATAATTATATTTATACATGTTTTATATATATATATATATATATATATATATATTTATATATGCCTTGCAAACCTAACCTAAATCTGTATCTACATTTTTGCACTTCTTGCACTTTTCGTGTCTCTTTCTTTCTTCATCGTCTGCGAATATATATATATATCCTGTTTTAAATATCGAAAATTTTAGAAAGTGCAAGCAACTTTAAAATCTCACTGCTTATGTTTTTCTATGTGTCACTGTGGTTTCATCTACATATATTGTGGTATTGTTGAGATTAGCAGTTGACAGCGGTCGAATAAGATAACGCGTGGAGGAAATGGGACGAATAATTTATGCTGAAGAGCAACTTTGCACATATTTAAAGTCTTTGGCGAAGCCAGATGGATACGTAATAGGATTGATTCTAGGACAGGTGCGCTTTCGGTATTTTTTGACTTGGCGTATCAGTCACATGTTAATAACGACACTTCTAACATATGCGATTAGCAAGTGAAAAACATTGTGTTGCTGTTAATGTATCGTTGTAATATTATTTTGAGTTACTTTAAATCAATAGAACTCGATAATGATGGTCATTCATTTATCTTTTTTCTTTAATTCTTGGATTTAGAAGAAAAATATTTTAACGGAATTTTAACAAAATGAAAATGTAGAGTCTCATATGTATTTTTCATTTGTCTATTGTGTAAGAATTTTTATTCTGCAGATACCAAACTGCCGTGATTGAATTCAACATATAATATTGTTTTAATACCTTTTATTTGATATTACAGAGTGCTGGGCAAAAGGACTATATTGTACATTTAGCAAAAACACCACCTCCTTTTATTAAAAATGTTGTGGAAGAAACGTTAATTGGTTCTACAGTGCCCATGGAAGAAGATGCAGCAAATACATATATCAAATCTGTTAAGGATATACCTATGAGCTGGGTTGCTGATCACGCTAAACATGTACTTATAATTTTCTTGACATAATTATGAAGTAACATATTCTTTATTTTTATGAATTGATTAATTACTATGAAAAGAATTAAAAATAAAATGTTTAGAATTATATAAATTTATTTAAATATTTAAAATTAGTACAATGTCATTAATATTTTAATAAATAATTAAAGAAAAATATATCTAAATATATAAATGAGAAATATAAAAAGGAATTATTAATGTATATGCAGGCAACCTAGTGTAATTATGTAAAAATAATTGTACTTTATTTAATTTATAGGTTACAAGAATGCTGCCTGGTGGAATGTGGGTACTTGGCATATTCATTGTTGGACCTGAGGACACTTTGGACAATACCAGTAATGTACAAAAACTTAAATCAGTCCTTGGCGCAATTCATAAAACTCTGTCGTGGAACAATAAGTATCTTTGTGGAAATAACCAGGATGAAAAACTTATATTAAGTTTCAATAGCATCACACAAAAGTATGCTGCCTCGAGTACTAATCTTAAATCCCATATTTAAACTGATTTGGTAATTGAAATTTATTAACTTTAGATATATTTGCAAATCTATCGATATTGCTAAGGACAGTATGTTGAAACCTGCTGATTGGAAATTCCAAGAGAAAGCGACTAAATGGCATCAACTTGAAGCTCTTGTAGATTTTAATAAATTATATCTGATTGCAGCAGATAAAGATCCTGAAACTCTCAAGAAACAGTTACATGTATTAATAGAGACAAATATTAAGACCTAAAGAAATTTATCGTCTTTACAATATCGCATTAAAAATATAAATTTTGTAGAATATTTTGACAAACATAGCGGACTTGATCGACTCTTCGCTCGTCGTCATCGAGGGGGAAGTCAGATCTCCAGATGACATGTTGGAAATACTTAGCAAGAAAAAGAAGAGTAATAAGGAATATAAAAGTAAGACAAATGACAGCAATAATTCACTTCAAGTTAGTTTGTATATTCCCTGTGTAAGTATAAACAGATTTATGAGAAGATTATAAAAAGAGATATTAAAAGATTCATCTATTAGGTAAAATTTATTTTGTTAGTCGCAAGATAATACTAATTGGGATATCAAGATAACGTCATGCAGTGCGTCAATAAGATTAATTGGACAATTAGTCAGTAGAACATTCGTACATCAGAAAGCTAATATTGCGGAAGCCAACACAGCTGTGAAAGAAGATATAGTGAGATCTCTGGCAAGCAGATTAGAAATGCATTGGGATAGTCTGATAGAAGAGGAAAATGGTTCTCCCGAAGGTATCATGAACAAGGGATATGTGTGATATATAAAGTTCAACATTTTTATATTTCTGTTTGCAATTTATTTTTAGAAGATATTACATTGCATGAACCACCGAGACGAGTGTTAATAGCATTACCGGAAAATAAAGTTACTTTGTCGGATTATCTGTTTCCCGGCGAAGGACCGCAAGAAGCATTATTGTCATTGCAGGAACTTCTAGATCTTGAAGTGCAAGAAAATCAGGTTGAAAAGGAAGTCGAATTGCAAGCTGGTAAGTAGAAAAATATAGACTGACATCGTAACTCAAAATCGCATATATCATTATTTGATTGCAACTAAATATATTAATACAGATCTTTTAGAATTCTACTGTCAAAGCGACGTCAATGCTAAACCATTAGACAATAATACTGATACAACTAGGACTCATCAAATGGCCATTTACCTTACGGGGTTAAGCGTTGCATTTATTATATTGTTGATAGCTGTATTTGTTCATCAAATGATTTAATGTATATTTGTTTTATTAATAATACATATAAAATATAGCTTTTTGTTTATGTGTTATGCAATATATAATGTTCATTCAAAATAATATATATTTTTAAATCATATCTACTTGCAAATTGTAATGTAAACACTATTATTATTTAATATATACATTTTGAAAATTATGCGATATAAATTTTTTTTAATTTAAACAATATTCTCATGAAATAACATTTTCATAATTATTTAAATATTTTTATTTGTAAAAATACACGCATGCATTAATACTTTCTAAGGAAAAATAATAAAATGCTATAAAATATTTTTAACTTGCTTTATACTATATATATATAGATTTTATTATAACATCTACATAATATATACATATACCATATCATACACGTCTTATATACAAAAGAATAGTATTTTTTAGTCTTCATAATGGCAATCCTTACATCTTTAGTATGACAACTGTACTGTTATTAATATACTCTTCGATATTATTCATATATGAATAATATATATATATATGTATATATCGCATAATGCCAAATTAGGTAATAACATGCAATTTTGATACAAAATTTGTTAATAAATTAGGCAGTGACAATCCTAATGTTTAAATGCTCGCTATCGACTGCTTGCTTTAATAAATTTTGTAAATATTTGTAAAATTCTCTATGCTAATGTATATGAAAATTTTATTTACAAAACTTTTTACACTGTACACGACAAATTCCGTCGAAAAGACAATATCTCTAAGAATGTAACAAAAAAAAATATCGTGGTTCTTACATCTCTTTTCTGCAATAAATATTGTTTACTCATATTGAAAGCACAACATCCTTCGTTTTTTTAACTTTAACTTTCGTACGGTTAAAACATATTCACTTTGTTTTTCGTGTTATAACTTTGATTTTCTTTCTCATCGAGTATATAAGCACAAACAAATTAGAATTATGATTTGTACATGTAACTATCTTTTTACATTCTATTGCATTTTACATTCTCATCTTTTACATTTCTATTGCAAAATGAATGAATTTTAATAATATCACATATACAGGAATGAAAGAATGCAAAATATATTTTTGAATATATAACTCGATGCTATAAATTGAAAAAAATAAATTTCCTTATAATGACATATGGCATAACTTTATATAAATTAATTTGCATAAACAAAATTAAGTAGCATAATTCTTTCCCATATCATTATAATATCTTCTTTCGAGCGTGTGTTTACTTTAAAAAAGTGAGTAATCTAAAAAAAATGCAAATAAATTAATTATTAATATTAATTTTCCAAACATTTTTCTAAAAACTTTACGGTCCGCTCTGACATTACAAATATTTTTAAAAAATAAAAGAAATATATTAACTCTTTGCGAGCATAATTTTAATACGATATGAATGTGACGTAAGAAGTAGTCGCACGAAATTAATTTAAATACAGATTATTGCAACTTAATTATTCGAATAATATTTGTACTTTAATTATAACAATTCGGCCGTTTTATTTGTGACTTAATTTTCTAATTTTCGAAAATTATCCTCAAATATCACTTTTTTTCCAAGAGAACGCATAATATATATCTATTTCTTGCAACTAATAATAATAATTAGCTTCTGCATTTAATTATTATATTGTGTAAAGTGTTCTCAACGAATATTGCAAACAGATTGCGTCCCTTACTTCTGTTACGCAAGGTAATTTAAATTGCATTATCCAGAAATCGATTATTCTTAATCTCTACAGTTCGTAGTCAGAATTTTATACTACACCCATTTTTATAAGACCTGATTGGCTTCCTCTACCGACGCTCGCATCTTCCAATGAATCCAAGTCTAAGGCAGACTCTATCATAGTCGTGTCCTGCAATAATCTGAGTCTAGATGCAGATAGAGGGGTTGTTACGGTAACTGTTGGTATGGAAGATGTGTCCAGAGCGGAAGAGACCACGACACTTTGACGAGAAGGCAGCGGAGCGATTTCGTCAATATCAATTGGTACTATATTGAGAGACGCTAACGGTATTTCGTTGGTAACAAGTTGACTTATACTGTTCGTGGTACTACCTAAAAACAAAATTCATAATGCCAGATAAATATCTTGTTTTCGACAGTATCATACAGACAATTTATAACAAAAAAGTGCACATACAGCATTAAAATATAAATAATTACTATTAAAAATCGTGAAGGGGAAAACATAAGCTGTTATGAAAACCTCCTTAGTATCAACAAAAAAGAAAAACATTATAATGTATGATTATTATCAGAAAGGTGCAGCGTTGGCCTTGTGTAATCGTACACACAGTGTCAGCAGTGTGCAAGCTGTATTGTAATTTCATTTGCCCATGTAATAATGCACTAATTCTCAGTACACAGTTTCTTACATTTCATAAAATTTTAACATCTCATATTAAACATAGCATTGCAAAAAGATTTTTTTTTTAAATACTGTTTCCACTTAGGCATGATAAAACAAAAAAAAAAAGAATCATATCAAACAACATTCTGCACATTCTTTGGTATTACAAAATATCTTACCAACATTTGTAAATTTGTAAAGAGAGCATACGCACATTAAAAAATTAAATATTATTATCTTAAATCAAAGATGTTCTCTCTCAAATAATAAAAATAAAAAATTCAATATATTTTCGCATATAGATTTATCAACTTATTTACATATTTTAATAATATAAAACCAAATTATAAATTAGTCACAAGCCATAAACCCTGTAATTAATATACTGCTCCAAAATTAGTCTCATAAAAATATCAAAGGAACATGTCACATGTATAGTGATTTATTAATGCTAGTAAAAATATAATCAAGTCATTTGTATATTAAAACATACACTCAACGACGATCAAAATGTATGAAATGAACTTACCAAGTAGTACGCTCTGAGCCCTCGATAACAGGACGTAATTTTAAACAACAAAGAGAATACAAAGTTTATTGAATTATATTCAAATTTTTCTAATTACTAAGAAACTTAGATAAATATATATACAAATACCTATGTAAAGAAAATATTATTTTAAGCGATAATGTAAATTTAAGATTAAAGAAATATATCTCTGTATATATGCGCTTTTATCCATTTTTATAACAATGAAGGAATTCTCACGATTAGCAAAATTTTTATGAAAAAGATATAAAATAATTTTTTGAATTGAGAATTTTGTTTAGGAGCCGCAACAGATTAAAGCTTAAAT